TCCTGCCATTCCTGCTATTTCAGTCACATGCTCCAAGACAATGCAGCAGGTGCAGGGCATCACTTAATTCACTGTCATGTGGAGGAAATGAGGAAAATGCAAAAAATTGCATGGTCATGCAGAGGAAATGCAAAAATTGCCTGGCCAGGAATTAATCTTGGTACCTGGGCACTAAAGCCATTTTTTGACCACTATACCATGACATTCATTTGTTTATGTATAGCAAATAAAATAATATATACATATAATTACAGTATAATAAATTAGTTTATAAAGTTTAACTAGTGATTAGTGACTTGCCTATTCAACCATTGACCCAGCAGTACCCTTACTGAGTCGATCATTGGTCCAAGTTTTTTAACATCGCTGGTGATCACAAAATACCACTAAGTTCTTAGACCCCATCTAAGATGATTCTCAAGAGAATTGGGAAGAAGTCTAAGCAGGCAATGTTATGTCCATACTCCGTAGAGGTTGTCTTTACCCTTATTGCTCTTCTCATTTAAATAATTCACCCATCCAACATTCGTAATCTATTAGTCAATTATGGATTCAAAAATTTCTTGGGATTTTCATTCTGGATGGGACCTAAATAATAGGGAAAGTAATTAGATTCAGTTCCTTTTGCTTTTATTTAGATATTAATTCTTTTCTTCCAATCATGACAATGGAATTTGTACCATTGATCCTTCCGCTGTGTTTTTTTATACAGGTATTCAGTTTCTCACACTTTCCAACAGTGATAAAAAAACATGTCTTTCAATCTCACAGGAAATTTTTACCAACTAGCAATGTTTTATGATACCATGGGTTGGGCCATAAAATACGAACAATAGCACAAACCAAGTGTTACACACACAGTCAGCCACAACAAAAGATAAGATTATCTATGAATGTATTAGAGAAAGTTGGAGTAGCACCTAAAGGGGGGGGGGGGACCTCACTTAAAGATGGTTGCTCACATGAGAAGAAGAATAATAGTGGACCAAGGAAGAAAAATTGTTCATTTTAAAGGGTAATTCAATAAATAAAGATATGAGAAGACGAAGAAAGCTATTAACAAAAACCATTTTAAAAAACCTTGATATATATGGTCCTTCTAAAAAGCTGGATTTTGACACAACACTAGTGTTGTTAGATCCAAGTAGCAACCAAAACCTAGTGGGAAATTGTTGTTGTTGTTGTACACTTTCTAATACCAAGAGGTTTCTTGACTTTCTTCCTACAAAGCCCTTCTGTAAATCTAAAACTAACTCTAAGACCAAGTTTTGGTCTCAATATTTGTACCAAATAGAATTGATACAAACTTGTTGAAGATATGTAGACCCCACACAGCCCTTTCCACTGATACATCAGCTCAAGCTCAAAACTAATAGCCCGTTTAGTTCAATATTACAAAAAGACATTTTCTTTGGGAATAAATTGTTCAGTGTACTGAATGAATCTAGTTTCTTGCAAAATGCATGCATTTTTAAAGGCCTCTCATTACTTCCACTTTTGCACAAGGATAAGATTGCACTAGTTCAAGTATATGCAATACCATTGAAGTGTCTCAGTAGTTGACAAACTAGCTTCTATTAGAAGTTAGAATGCTATTATTGTGACAGTGTATAATTTTCTCTTTTCGATTTCACCTAACCAACTTAAAAAAGAGGAAAGTTAGTTGAATTTGAACAAAGAAATTATACATTCTCACATGTATGAACAGAATATGTTGGTTGTTATGAAGATGTTATGTGGTTATCTTCAAATGCATTCAGCTTACACTATAAATGTATGAAAAGTACTCAATTCAGAGATAGAAATTTAGGTAAAGAGAACTCTCCCTAATTTTCTCTCTATCACATTCTTTTAATTTCATGAATTTATCAAACACTAAGTAGTGTTTGGCCCAGATTATTTTAGGCTTCTTTTCCCTCAAAAGGTGAAGCTAGGCAAACAAAAAAAAGTAACTTAAAAAAACTAATTTACAGAGATTTTTGCTTCTTCTTCTCCTTGTCCCTCTTTATTCCAATTTCAAGGTCTGAGGTCACACAACAAATAAATTTTGACTTGCAACTTTTAAGCTGAAAAAATTATAAAATTACCAAATAACCTCAGCATTATATTTAAAAGACTTTATTTTTAACTTGGACTTTAAAGTAGTTTCTAAGCTCAGAAAAAGTCTAAGGCCAATTACAACCTAATAGTCTTTATGGATTCTACCTTGTACACTCATAGGTGTTGCAAGGCAATTCCCATTATCGATGTGCTGATATATTAAGTGTCTGTTGCATTCTTCTTGATTGTTTCTTTCCCTCTTTTTTTGTTATTATGTTTCAGAGTATACTTATATTTCTCTTCAAGTCATAATTCATTTTCTTTCTCTCAAAAATGTTTACAAAAAAGAAGAGCTGACCTTGAGACATTGACGACGATTTTCACGAGCACTAACCCCTGGGGGAGCAGCCGCACCAAGAAGTCGTGACAGCCCTCCTTGAACGGTAGGGATGTAGGAGGCTCCCGCAATGCCTGAAAAGTATATCTATAATTGGAGTTCATGATGTCATGAAAGAGACTACATGAGACTTGCAAATTTGAGCAGAGAATAGAGAAGAGGCATAGAGAGATACAGGCACATCCATAATAAATGCAACTAAACAGCATTGTATGAGTGAAGTACAACCTCCCACCTTTTTGATTATGTGAGCATTGGGTGATGGAATCAACAAGAAAAAATAAATCCACTTTACGATGAAAACTAGTTTCAATCTCCAGCTTTCGGATAAGAAGTTCAACAACCTGAACATTAACTTTCAAGGTAAGTCCACTACAAGAAAATTAACAATAAAATTGATGATAATGCAAAATTAATTGCAAAAGTCTTACATTAAAGAAAATAAGTTCACATTATCTCTAAAAATATACACAAACATATTCTACAAGCATGAACTGAACACCAAAACACAAGCAAAGTAACAGTTTTAATTTTTTTTTCAGCTTTTGTAAAGCTGTTTTTTGGTTGTATTTTAGCTGCAGTGATAGCAGTCACTGTCTTCTCAGACTCCGCTTTTGTATTGTATACTCTTCTCTCTTTTTAAATACACGAGTAACACATCAGTGGGCAGATCAACTCACTCTTTTCCTAAATCTCAAATATCAACTTGATACCAAAGTCTAGTTTCGATCCAACAACCTCTGGGTTATTGACCCACCATGCTTCTGCTGCGCATTAGGGTGAGGGTATCAGTCCACTGTTTTCCCACATAACTCTAATGATGCACAAGAGCATTTGCATTGAGCATTAGGGTTTGTGCAGTTTCCACTAAATATCAGTTTTTCCTTTCTCCAATACCATTTTGTTGAGGTGTGAGGACATGTGGATTGGTGTAAAACTCCTTGTGAAGATAAGAGAGAACAAAACTCAAATGAGAAATACTCTTCGAAATTATCACTACTCAAAATTTCAATGGTTTTCCCATGATCTCATTGAAGAAAGACATGAAAATAAGCAACAATTCAGATTTGTCTTTCATCAAGTATATTCAAGTACATCGAAAATATTCATCAATGAATGTAACAAAATATCTAAAACCAAAAGATGTTACACGTCTCATCTTGATGACAACTCAAGTTGTCCCGTTGCTCTTAGGAAAGGTATTAGATCTACTCAGAACCCTCATCCTATTTATAATTTTTTGAGTCTTCATACTTTTCCTTGTTTACTCCCTTTCCTTAGTTACTATTCCCAACAATGTTCACGATGCACTTGATCATCTTGGATGGCAACAAGCTATGATTGTTGAAAATGTAGGCTCTTGAACACAATGACATATGGGAGCTTGTTCCACTTCATCATGGAGAGACACCAATTGGACGCAAATGGGTCAATGATATTAAAGTCAAACCTAATGGTGAAGTTGACCACCTCAAAGCCAAATTGGTGGGCAAGGAATACACTAAAATATATGGTCTTGATTATGGTGATGCTTTCTCTCCTATGGCCAAGATCACTACATCTCGACTTTTTCATGCTATGCTGCCATTTTCCATTGGCCCCTTCCACCAAATGAACATTAGAAATGCTTTTCTTCATGGTGAATTGGAGGAGGAGATCTACATTGGAGCTACCACTTGGGTTTGTCGCTTAGGGGAGTCTAGTCTAGTGAGTAAATTGTGAAGATCACTTTATGGTCTCAAATAATATCCTTGAGCTTGGTAAGGGAAATTTAGCCATGTGATGCAAGACTTTGGGTTGAAACAAAATGAAGCAAATCACTCAATTTTCTATTGCCATCCTTCTCCCGAGAAATATGTTTATTTGGTTGTCTATGCTAATGACATAGTGATTAAAGGGAATGACGCTACTAAAATTTCCTAGATAAAAAGGCACTTATTAAGTCACTTTCAAATCAAGTACCTTGGTTATTTGAAATACTTCCTTGGTATTGCGATTCAGATCCGATTCATGTGATTCACGATTCACTCAACAATTCATATCACCAGCAACTTGAATCGTATCGAATCATATGTATCATATCATGAATCGTATGAAACTTACTACCATGGAGCTAACCATTTCACCTACAAAATAATACAAACTTAGGACATACCAACTGCTTTCTCACTTCCAACACAACTCTCCTTCAACATTTTACATATTAATTCCATCAAAGAAGTATTCCAACAAAGCTGCCATTAACTAATGTTAAGACAATATCCTTATACACTAAAGCAATTTCGAAATTATTTTCTAAGACAAATTTATACTCATACCTGAGGTAGAAGATAAAGAAAGTAATAAAGTTGTTAACTGATTCATTGTTTTAAAAATAGCAAGGATATGAAAAGCATACCACATACCTCATTGGCAATGCCATATTTGGCACAATCAATGGCAAGACGTGTTGCACGCCCAATACTTTCCTTGGTCCTAGACAAAGTCTCTATCATTCCTTCAAAGGCATCACGAGCAACAGCAGCCTCAGTACCACCACTCAGAGAGCCCTCTACAGCCCTTTGCACTGAATTAACTCTTTTCTCTTCGTTTTCTTCATCATCAAGTTGACTTTGAGAAGTGGAATGATACCCATTAGTTGATGGAGAAGCCAATGTTGGGTGTTCATGAACAATTGGCCAATCTGCCTGGCCAAAATTGCTGGAGACGGATAGAAATGGCTGAACTGTAGAGGGGCTAGGAGTTCCCCCTTGAGTATTGTAAAGATCAAGAGGATGACATTGAGATTGAGCTACTTGTCTCCTTTTCGCCTGGGCAGCCGCAATAAGATGCTTCATAGTCTTCGGAGTTTCTGGAGTCCTAGAAACAGTATACAGACTATTTTCTTCTTCTGTGCCCACCTCAATTCTGTAATAATATAAACAAGTTAAAATGGAAAAACAAAACATTAAAAAATTCCAATAGAATAAAATATAAAAATAAATGGAATTCAAAAGGATATGTACCTATGAACACAAAAAACATCAAATTCCTTTAAATTTTCTGTTTTAGCAGGAAATTCAACTTCCAGTGGTAATGTCTTTGGAGTGGTTTTAGAAGTTTCCCCTGAAGATGCAGGCTTCTTTTTATGAGTAGTGACCTGACACTGTGAAGAGCTGATGCTATTTACATTCTTTGAAGATCCATTATCAGCCTTCTTTTGAGTAGAATTACTGGAAACTTGAAGCATACGTTTGGAAAATTTATGTTGCTCAGCATTTGACTTTGTTGTAGGAACTGAATGAGGTGAATCTACCAGAGAGGTGGAGCTCAATTTTTCCACCTTTGGAGAAAATAGCTTTGAATCTAATTTCCTAGGACTATGAGGTAAATGGAAAGGAATAACTTCTTCAGCCTCTTTTTGAGGATGTCCAACTTGCAAATTGTCATTACATAATTCAGAAGAGGGTTCTTTAAAATGGCTATCCTCAAGTGCACTAGGTTTTCTGGTATCCAACTGAGCAGCATCAGTGTTCTCTAGGAATGCATCATTGTTCTTCAAAACCTCTGAAACAAAAGGAGATTTAATATCTTCAGCAGCTCCTCTGTGAACAGGAGAATTGTGGTCATCATCATCATCATAATCAACAAGGCAAACAGCTCTACGTCTCCTCTGTACTTGTTTAATTGTAAGATTATTTGTGTCACCTTTCAGTCTAAGAGAACTCATTTGTGTTTGTTCACAAGCAATGCTAGTAGAATCAGGCATAGCTTGCTGGTCACAAACAGAATCATCAGAACCTACAACACTAGTCTGAACCCTTGATGGCAAACCTTTCTCTGTTTTCAATCGTGATGTAGACCTTTTCAACTCTATTTGTTTGAATTCTTTGTCATCAACAACAGGAGAGCTAGGTGAATCACTCTTCCCACCTTCCGAGAGAGATTTTAAAGTTTTATTGTCTTTGATATCCATACACTTCAACTTCTTGGTAGCATGTAAAGTTTCATTTGTTCCCAAATTACGTTTTCCATGAAGTTGATTTTTGTTTTGCTTAAAAGATTTTTTTCTCTCATCCTCAGAACCAACAAAGCTCTCCTGCAACTCATTTTTAACTTTAAGACTAGTTTTAACTTTCAGAAAGTTCTTTTCTTTACTTACCCTGTTAATATCAGAGTCTGATTTAAGAGCATCTGCAGAATTTGATTTAACAGAAAATGCATTTTTCTCTTTTTTCCCATCTTTCACTGTCTCTCCAGACCTGGAAAGACTAGTATAAACTGCACAATTTTCATCCTTTGAAGATACTCTACTAATTTCACCGCTTCTTTTTCTATCATCTGCACCTTTGCTTCTCTTTGAGCCAGTAACAAGCTTTCTTGACCTGTTCCCATTTGTATAAACACTCTGTTCATTATCAGCTTGCTTTAAGTCATGAACATTGCCAACATCCTTAATATTAGAAACTTCCACTTTCAGACATGATTGTTCGTCCAGGTCAGATTTGCTAGTACACTTATTAAGTTCTGCTGCACCAATTGATGGTTTAATTTCAATCACTGGCAACAAGACTGGAGATGAACTGTCATTTGGATGGCCAGATACAGAAGGCTTTTCAACTTGGTTACCACTTTGTTCAAATCTCTGTGTACTTTGCTCCAAATTAGAGCCAACATCTCCCACACATGTGTTAGCATTTTCAATGTTGAATACCACAGCATCAGTAGCATCCTTCAAGTGACCCACTACCCCATCAACGGAAGGAGTTCTTGAACCAATATGTGAATCATCAGTGTCCTCTTTCAAACCACTAGCTTTCTGTTTCTCCAACTCCTCAAATGCTGAGCAGATTTCCTTCACGGCTTTAGTAAAGTATTTTGTCTTTCCTTGACACCGAGCAGACAACTTAGTTTTAGCCTCAATGGTGAATGCCTGAATATCCGCAGGGGCAACAAAAGCTCTATAAAATAAAAGGCAGTGTAAGAATATAAAACCAAGACAGTCAATCTCCAGTTCTTTTTTTTTTTTTGAAGTTTTACTAGCTGCTGTGCTTGGCCTACAGCATAACTTAACTTGGCTAGGTATAACTTAACCATATAATATGATACGCCGATTTTTTTTTATTACATTAAAATTATTCAATATCCTACATTGCTTCTGATAGAACTGGACCAACTGGTTCAGCATCTAAAGGAAAGAATGAATTTTTATTGTTAAACCCTTAATCCAAATTGCTGTGCCAATGTGGTAGCAGCCTTAATCCAAACAAGTGCTTTTAGAAGAAAAAAAAAATCTTTAAGAAGCAGATAGTTGTTTCTTAAAAAAGCAGAAAACTGCTTATTTAAAAAAAATAAAATAAAAAAGGAAGTTAAGACATGCATATCAAAAAGTAAAAATGTGCTTATTTTATTTATAAAAAAAAAACACTTTTATAAGAATAAAAAAAGTTTAAACAAACAAACCCAAAATGAATGATTTCCCAAGATACTCGAGAACTGGGACTCTGCCCACCCTCTAAGAGTCTAATCCTTTCTCAAATGATAAGATGATTTCCCTCTTAACCTCCCCTCTTTATTTATTCATAGACAATATGCCTTATTTTTTCTACTATCTCAGCCCACCTAACTAACAAATTCCCTCACTGACAGACATCTCACTACTAATGGGGGTATCTATCAGTTTCATTTTTTTCTATTACAAGCTGCTAAAGCTTGGAACAACTCTTTGGCAACATGTTTATAGAAGAAATAATATATTCCGATACGGGTAGGGAAAAGATATGTACTGTACCTGAGCTTCTTTGTAATGATCACAATTATTCTTTCGTAGATTGTGATTATCATCTACTAATATGGTTATGTATTAATGAGAAACTATCAATGTCTCTTTACAAGCATTTTGCATATATGGAAAATATACATTTTTCTTATAAATTTATGTTAACATATCTAGGCCGTAGGGTATTTTGTATGTTTAAGACCAAGAATTTCCTGTATCTGTGTGTTATTCTAACAGTAGCATATTACGTATTTGGGCTTCATAGCTCTCCGGTAATAATCATAAGCAAAAGGGTTAGAATAGACAGACCACTTGACAACCAGCAAGGCAACATGGGCCAGGGTGTTAATTCCAAATTCCATCGATGTCATTTTTATCACTTTTCCAGCTCTGAATAACATCAGTGTCCGCTAAAGTTTATTATTATTATTCTTGTGCCAATGCACATGATAATCATTTTTCTCTTTTTCATCAAGGGGAGCCTGAGTGCAACGGTTGAAATTGGTGCTTTGTGACCCGGAGTTCAACAGTTCAGGTCATGGAATTGGCCTCTTGCAACAAGGTAAGGTTGCCTACATAGACCCATCACCCATATAGTGGACCTGACCCCACACAGTGCGGGGGTCTCACATCATCAGTGATCAGCCTGCCCTTTTTACCTATTACTAAAAGAACATGTCAAAATTCAATGAATTACTTGAAAATTAGCCATTATCAGTTAGTGAAGAGCCTAGAAACATTGACTGAATTACTTGACAACCAAGCTGTTCACATATGGTTAAGGTAAGGTTTTAAATTGCGGACTGCATTGCATGATGTGGCTGCAATATCCTGGTTAGGCTGCCACAACTGCATTAAGCTGTGATTGCAAACCTCATTGGCCGCAATTGGCCTAGTACAACTACAATTTAAAACCATATGTTAAGCTATAAATGCATGTATAGAGAGAGAGAGACTCACATTTCCTTGGTCCCATAAAATTGAACAAAATATTTCTTTGGATCAGGGGTTTTCTCCCGATCTTCGGGCCTGCTTATCTGAAGATAAAGAATTAACAAAATCAGTAACCTCAGCATTAATTAACAACCCAAAAATCAACCTCAGTTAGTTAACCATTTAACAATACAGAAATATCACAAGCATGATTATAACACCCCTAAACAATTAAAATAACAGGGAAAAAAATCATAGATCAATCAAAGAGCCTAAAATCCTAACAATGTTAGACTTGAAAGATATGTGCACGCACTTAACGACAAGAAAATTCTTACGAAGAATGCACAAATCCCTCATACGCAAAATTTCACTAACACGACAAATAAATAACTCGATAAACTCCACTACAGCCATCCATGCGGATTCCGAGAATGAACCGCAGCACAGAGATTAGCAAAATAACAACAAAATTCGAAAAAAATACAAATGAAAATCACAAAAAAAAAAAGTTCGATAAACGAAAGCGCACCTTGGCAGGCCAAAACGGGAATCCCTTAACCTTAGCGAGCACGAGATCGCCCAAACTCAAGTTGCCATTGGCCTTGGCCTTGTTCGCTCCGCGTCGGCGCGGCGGAGGCATGACGGCGCGATGCAGCGGAGCACGAATAACGAACAGTCAGAAAACCCTAGAAAAATCCGCCGCGAGAATCTCCGGCGAGGAATCTCCGGCTAGAGCGGTGGCGGCGGAGCAGGAGAGGCCGGCATTGGCAATGGCGGGGAGAGAGAGAATCTGAGAGAGTGAGAAAATGATTGAGAGAGAGAGAGAGAGATTTTGTTGTTGTGAGAATGTGAGTGTGGCTTCTTGGCTGGGTGACTTTGGAAGGAAGGAAGGAGTATAGTATTTTGGACCCAATGCGAAGGTTTTTGTGATCCTTCTTCTCTTTCGATTTTGATCCCAGCTTGTTTTTCAACTTTTTTTTGTCCCTGGCCCTTTCCTGTATTGTTGCACTTGCATGAGATGAATCATCTATTCATCAAACTGTTTTATTTGCTTTTCTTCAACCAACAACCTAAGCAAAATAAACAATTTCCATGCAATGTAAAAGTTTAATTTTAATCTAACAATTATTATTTGCTAATTAAATTATATATAGTATATTACATTGTTATTGTTTTAGCATAATATGATATTCCTACATTATTTAAAGGATTCATTATTCTACCTATGTGTAAAATTAAAAGTTATCTTAAGAAAAGTGTTCAAATCTTTTGTATAGAAAAAAAATATATGATTGAAAAGAAGGATTTTATAATTAATCAAGCTTTTCGATGAAAGTGTATGAATGATATGGTTATAACAAAAAATAGCTTTGTAAAATTATTAAGGATAATAATTTTTTCAAAAGTTGGATAATTATCTTCTTTTACTAAATTTTAAAGGAATTATAAAGTAAATCAGTTATGTATATTATACTAGATAAATATTTACTATATGTAACTAAAGTTTATAATAAATTATATATAAAAATAAATATTATATTTGAAATATATAAATTATATTTAAATTTTGTATAAATAAATATTTTTAAAATATAAATTATATTTTTATCTTTAATAAATAATTTAAATTACAACAAAATATTATTTTTGATTTAGATATCAGTAAAATATTTTTCTATTGCTTTAAAACTTAAAGTCATTATTTTTAGTCTCATATGATCATTTTAAAGTAGATAAATAACAATTGTTCTAAAGAACTATGTAACTTTTTAGATGTGTCACATACAAACGTAATATCATTAACAATTGAGTAACACCAAGAATGATCACTTAATATTTTAATAAACAAAAAGTAGTTAGAATCACTACATAAAAAATAGGGACTAAAAACAACCATTCCAATTTTGAAAGGATAAAAGACAAAAAAAAAATTTACAGAGACCAAAATCAAAACTAGTTAATTTTATTGAGACTAAAAATATTTTTAAACTTTTATTTTTAAAATATTAAAGATTTAATTTATAAATAAATATAATAAATAAAACTAAATTATATAAGTAATTTTGTGACACCCTCTACCCCAACATACATATACAATCATTTTTAAAAAATGTTTTAATTAAAATCTTTCATAAATAAAACCAAGTTCTCAAATATCTTACGTAGAGGATTCATATTCATAAACTCATAAATAATATCTTCAACACAGAAATTACAAAGAAATAAAAATGAGTTTTCAAATAGTTTAATAGAAGTAACATCTTAAACTAAGCCTAGCTATGCCTCGGTGTCACATATCCTATCAAAGCATCCCAACTGAAGCCTAAACCTCATCACCAACATCTTCATGCTAATGATCACTTGCAACACAATTTAAACACAGAAAAATAACAACAAGAGAGTGAGAAATATCTCACTCAGGTTCAGGTGTAGAAATAAAGGTTAGATAGTACACACACACAACAAACATATTACAAGTCATAAACACCAATCACATATAAATAATACACATATATAATCAGTATCACATGTATACTCATTTATCATGCAATGATATCATGAACTCGACTCATAAATGCATGCGACGCCAGTCACATGTCTCATCACATATCTCATCATTTCATCATTGGTGACCCAAGGTACACCTTGTTAGCATGTTATATCACTGGTGACCCTAAGGTACACCTTGTTAGCTTGTTACATCACTAGTTACATCACTAGTGACCCTAAGGTACACCTTGTTAGCTTGTTATATCACCAGTGACCCTAAGATATACCTTGTTAGCTTGTTATATCACCAGTGACCCTAAGATACACCTTGTTATCTTGTTACATCACCAGTGCTCCCAAGGTACACCTTGTTAGTTTGTCACATCACTAATGCTCCTAAGGTACACCTTGTTAGCTCATAAATGCAATTGATGCATGTCATTAAAACCCTATGCATTCTCATATCACATTATCATGTCTCATCCTCATATAATATCGTCATGTTTCATCCTCATGTCTCTTCATCATGTCTCGTCACCATGTCACATCATCATAGCATATTCACAATTTTCACAGTAGCATATTTCATTCACATCATGTCTCATCATCATGAGTTCATATTTCACATAGTCATTCTTATAATTATTCATCTCAGGGTTTCGCACAAGAACCCACAGAGCACTCTAATTCATATCAAAACATCTTTATTTCAAAGTTAATCACATATTCATACCTCACATCCAACAAGGAACACAACAGAACAATCAGAAGGAAAAACAGAAAACATTCATATTTTGCCCGTTTTCTCATAGGGTTTCCCGTAGGAACCCATAGATCATTCTAATTCATATCAAAACATCTTTATTTCAAAGTTAATCACATATTCATACCTCACATCCAACAAGGAACACAACAGAACAATCAGAAGGAAAAACAGAAAACATTCATATTTTGCCCGTTTTCTCATAGGGTTTCCCGTAGGAATCGAGCACTCTAATTCATATAAAAACATATACATTTTCAAAATTAACCACATACTCATGCATCACATCCAACAAGGAACACAACAAAGTAATCAGAAGGCAAAATAGAAATATTCATACTTTGCATGTTCCTAGAAGCATGCATCAGGTGATTGGGGTCAATCCAACTACCCAACAATTATTCTCACACCCCGAGCGAGGTTTCTCACTCCTCACTTACCTGGATGAGCAGAAGACGAATGATCTTGGTGTGATCTAAGATCGTTGCTGAGTAACTCTTTGTTTCTCCTCTTTTTTTTTCCTAACCCTTCAGAACGCAAATGAGGCAGGTTAACGCTACCTGACTCCTTTCTTAAAATTAATCCATTGGGCTGGGTCAAGCCAACCCATTTTCCTTTTCTTCTAACTCACTTCTCTTTTTCCTCAAAATTATTAAATAAAATAAATACATGTATATTATAAAATATTTTTTCTCTATAATAATAATATATTTCTGACCCAAAATATAATAATATAATTTCAATAACAAAATATCATATAAAATCAACCTTCTCTTAAAACATATAAATATTTATTTAAAAATTCTAATAAAAATACTTATTTAATACGTACAAAATAATTTTCCAAAATAATAATTATTTAAAACGTACAAAATAATATTCCTCTATAATTATTAAAATAATTATGACAAAATACCATATAGTAATAATAATAATAATAACTTTTTTGAAAACTGGAGTGTTACAAATTTCACGAATTCTTAAACATCTTTCCATTGAAGAGAAGTCCTTAAAATGTTTTTAATAAATGCTTTTGTACAAGATAATTGTACATATTTAATATAAAAACAAATTAGCGTAACCTTTTTGTCAACTAATTTACACACTAGATAATGTTTTATTTTTTTTTACAAACTATTTATATTTTTTATTTTAAAGACAATTTTGTTCAAGTTTAATACGACTATTGTGGACAATGAAATATTTTTTTTGAATTTGTAAAGAGAGAAGAAAAAACTTCTAATCATATTGGTGTATATGTTGGTAATTTTCTTTGTGAACGACTTTCCTTTTCAAGAAGTTGCACTTGGTTCAGGCACATTGTACCATTTTATGCACAATCATAAAGTATTATAATGCTTATTAAATACTTTTTGAACGTTTGAATATGACTTTTATAAGTGTGAAACGTTTAAATAAGCATTGGACTTGTGAATACCAATAGAACACAAACATTCATCACAATGTGTTGGATGTTAGACACAAATGCTAACTATCCTAATTACAATGTGTTACACTTATCTCAATTTTTACGTGTTTGCAGAAGAAGTTATTTAATAAAAAAATTTTATGTTTCCATTCCTTTTACATTTTGGGTTCATGCTTCTTAAAATAATTTAATCTAATATTAGCCACTCAAGTTTATTACTTTGTTATTATCAAAACTAGGTGTTGAATGTTCATACATGTCTTTGGTTCAACAAGTATTAGGTTTATGCCCGATTGTCCATACTATTTAGTAAGAGATTGTAAGAAGCACGAAGATCTAGGTTCAATCTTCATTGCGACCATCTTTGTAATCTTTCCTATCTTTACAAAAAGAAAAATTAGTGAGAGACTGTTGAAGTTATCCCTAATGACTATTCCTTTATTCTTTGTATCATTACTTTAATGTATTGAGTTTGATTATTTATATAAAGAGATTTCAGTTATTATGTTATTTATTGTTTAACATAATAATGTCCTTAAAATAATTTATATAAATAAGTAATTTTAAATGTATAAATTATATATTTTTATTTTTAATAAATAATTTGAATTACAATCAATATTATATTTAACTATTGATACTTTATTTTAAAAAAAATACTAAAAATTAATTTATAAATAAAATAAAATTAGATAAGTAATTAAACGAATTCTTGATTATCATCTCATTGAAGATAAGTTCTCAAAAATGTTTTCACTCTTACACAAGATAGATGTTTATATTTAATGTATGGGAACAAATTAGTGTAATTTTTTTGTCAACTAATTTACACATTGGATAGTATTTTTATATATTTTTTTTCAAACTATTTGTAATTTTTATTGAAGATAATTTTGTTCAAGTTTAATAAGACTGTTATGGGCACTAAAATATTTTTTCCAATTTGTAACTACTATATATATAACATATTTTAAGTCAAAATTATTCATTAATTTGAAACAAATTTAGTTTTTTGATAATATGAGAATTTCTTCGAAATATCATAATATTATGCAATAATTAAACTGTTTTTTTTTTACATAAGAATTAACTATATCCAATATTTGATTATGATAATTTACATCAATATCAACATGTTGATTCTCAACTTCAATTAATGCTCCTAAAGCTTCTTCGTATATGAAAAGAATAAAATGAGGATGATATGGATGTTGAGGCATGTTTTGAAAATAGGGATTCAGGACACTGATCTAGGAAGCCAAATTAATTAGGAATTATTATTTTACATAGTAATGATAAGTTTAATTAACAATAATAA